CCAGGTGGCAGAGAGGCTGGCAGGGGGCCCAGTGGGTGCTCAGTGACATCCATCCATACAGGGACCTCAAGCCCACCAACGTGCTGCTGGACGAGGATGACCGGCCCGTGCTGATGGACCTGGGCTCCATGAACCAAGCTCGTATTGAAGTCAACAGCTCTCGGGAGGCCATGGCTGTGCAGGTGGGTGCCATGGGACATCACCCCAGCAGCCCATCCCTCCCCAAAGCCCTTCATCCCCATCCCCACCCTCCTCTCCGCAGGACTGGGCTGCCCAGCGCTGCACCATCTCCTACCGTGCCCCCGAGCTCTTCACAGTGCCCAGCCAGTGTGTCATAGACGAGCGCACAGATATCTGGGTAAGGATGCGGCCCCCCCAGCCCCCACCCCACCACTGCAGGGCTGCCCTGACCTCCCCCGTGCTCCAGTCCCTAGGCTGTGTGCTGTACTGCATGATGTTTGGGGAGGGCCCCTACGACGCCATCTTCCAGAAGGGTAACAGTGTGGCTCTGGCCGTGCAGAACCCCATCGCCGTTCCCCCCACGACCAGGTGAGGAGCTGGGGAGGTTGACCCTGCTCTTGGGCAGCCCCCAGTGCTGTGCATCACTTGGACCACTCCCTCTGCCATCTTTCTTTCCCCAGGTACTCGGCGGCCTTGCAGCGCCTGCTCTGCTCCATGATGACACTGAACCCCGAGGAGCGACCCAGCATCAATGAGGTCATCCACCAGCTGGAGGGGCTGCAGCCAGCGCCGGCAGGACAGGACACCACGCAGATCTGAGCCTGTCCCACCCTGCAGTGGCAATATACTCCGTGGCAAAGCCAGGGAATAGCGGCGGCCCTCACCCCTGCTCCCCCGCGGAGCCCTTGCAGAAGGGATCTCTGCACCTGGGGGAGAGCTGCTGCTCTGTGCTGGAGGTGTGGTGGATTTGGTGTGTTCTGTGCCCTGGATGCTGCTGCCTGGGACTTGGTCCGAGCCCCGGAACTGTGGACGTGTGACCTGCTGTTAAACACGGGGCCCTTGCCGGCTGCTGCCTCCCTGGGGGTTTGCAGAGGAAGGTGCTGTGGGACCCCCCAGGTGACAGCAGCCATGGCCCTGCAGCTCTGCGCCGCAGGAGGGTCACTCGTGCCTGGGGCAGAGCTGTGGTCTGGGTCATGGTGTGGTGCTGCAGTGAAGTGTGGGTGGACCCAGCTCTGCTGCTGCTCTTGGCACCAATGTTGCCTTGTGTTTGGAGTAAAATATGTTCTTGCGGAGGTGTGGACATGTCCCTGTCTGCGGGGACGGGGTCCTGCTGGGGGCACCAGGAGAGCAGGGCACGCTGTCTGGGTCGAGCAGCCAAGTGTCACTGGAGGGCAAGGGCAGTGGAGGACAGCACTGGCAGGGTGGCACAGCCGGAGCATTAGCAGTAAGCAGGGAAAGTTAATCCCTGGCCCCAGCGCACTCCAAAGGGGAGTTAGCACAAGTCTGCAGCTGGAGCCAGGTGCTGCTGTTCAGAGCTTCAGGCTGGGCACTGCGGGAAGGGCTCAGCGCAGGCAGGCAGGTGGTGGCAGGGGGACAGGCAGAGCTGTTAGGCTCCCCGATGAGAGGGAGGTGGGTGCCCAGGCTGGGCAGCTGCCAGAGCTTGGGGGGAAGGGGCAGCAGCCCTGTGCTGGTGGGGTGAGCAGAGCCCCGGGATGGCATGACCACCCTTGGGCTGGAGAGGCTCCCCGGGACATTCAGCAGCTGAGCTGTGCACAGAGGAGGGTAAAAAAAGAGATGCAGACAAGCGGTTTCACAGGGAGCGTTCCCGACCTTTAATCCTCTCACCGCAACACAGCAGAAAAGCAGCCGTGGGGGTTCACACTGCGCTGGATGCCCTTGCAGGGTGCACCCACTGCACCGCAGAGCCAGGCAGGTCCCTTGTCCCACGCTGTGGGCACAGGGACAGGTTGCCAGGCTGCTCCCACTGCTTTAACCACTCTCCTTCCAGACAAGCCCACCTACCCTCTGACTGCACATGGGAAAAAGCCCCAGCAGCTGCAGGTATTTCCTGCTCAGGCTAAATCTGTTCCCCGAGGCTCCAGGATACAACGCAGCATCTACCATGGGGACTACTACCATGGGGACATCTACCACACGAGAAAGCGGTACCCACCCATGGCTGGAGCAGTGAGCGGGGTAGGATGTGTGCCATGGCCCTGGGGATTCTTACCTGCGCAGGGAGCAAGCTGGAGCTGGAGCAGGGCGCTGGGAGGAAGCACAGCAGTAGCGGCAGCAGAGCTGAAGCACTCACTACACACCTGACCTGGCAAGAAACCGATACAGCTGGGGGGTTAGTGGGAGACACAGAGGCTCTGAAACGGTTTATTGCAAAGGGTTTCTGCAGGGAACACAGGGAAGAAGCACGGTCCTCTTGGGCAGGGGCTTCTCTACTCCTCGCCCTCCTCTTCATCCTCGTAGGAGTCCAGGCCCACCTCCTCATAATCCTTCTCCAGAGCAGCCATGTCTTCCCGTGCCTCGGAGAACTCCCCTTCCTCCATGCCCTCGCCCACGTACCAGTGCACGAAGGCTCGCTTGGCGTACATCAGGTCGAACTTGTGGTCCAGGCGAGCCCAGGCTTCGGCGATGGCCGTGGTGTTGCTCAGCATGCAGACAGCGCGCTGCACCTTGGCCAGGTCCCCCCCTGGCACCACCGTGGGTGGCTGGTAGTTGATGCCCACCTTGAAGCCCGTGGGGCACCAGTCCACAAACTGGATGCTGCGCTTGGTCTTGATGGTGGCGATGGCAGCGTTGACGTCCTTGGGCACCACATCCCCACGGTACAGCAGGCAGCAGGCCATGTACTTGCCGTGGCGAGGGTCACACTTCACCATCTGGTTGGCCGGCTCAAAGCAGGAGTTGGTGATCTCGGCCACTGACAGCTGCTCGGGGTAAGCTTTCTCTGCGGAGATGACAGGGGCGTAGGTAGCCAGGGGGAAGTGGATGCGAGGGTAGGGCACCAAGTTGGTCTGGAACTCGGTCAGGTCAACGTTCAGAGCCCCATCGAACCGCAGTGATGCTGTGATGGATGAGACAATCTGGCTGATGAGGCGGTTGAGGTTTGTGTAGGTTGGGCGCTCGATATCAAGGTTCCTGCGGCAGATGTCGTAGATGGCCTCATTGTCCACCATAAAGGCACAGTCTGAGTGCTCCAGGGTGGTGTGAGTGGTGAGGATGGAGTTGTAGGGCTCCACCACAGCAGTGGAGACCTGTGGTGCAGGGTAGATGGAGAACTCCAGCTTGGACTTCTTCCCGTAGTCAACGGAGAGTCGCTCCATCAACAGGGAGGTGAATCCAGAGCCAGTGCCACCTCCAAAGCTGTGAAACACGAGGAATCCCTGAAGGCCAGTGCACTGGTCAGCCTATGGAGGGAGATGTGTGAGATTGCTCTGAGATGGATTTCTTTGATGAACATCTGAGTGGTCAGAAGTCCTTCAGGACCTAGTCCTTCCCCATCATGGGCAGAGACCCCCTGAGCACAGCAGGGCTTGCAGTGTGCTCTGACCCCCAGCACAATGCCAGAGCCCAGCTCAGGGCCTCTGTGGTCACCTACCAGCTTCCGGATCCTGTCCAGCACTTGGTCGATGATCTCTTTGCCAATAGTGTAGTGCCCGCGGGCGTAGTTATTGGCAGCATCCTCCTTGCCGGTGATGAGCTGCTCAGGGTGGAAGAGCTGGCGGTAGATCCCAGCCCGAACCTCATCTAGGGGAGAGCAGGAGAGGGCTGAGCCGGGTGCTGGCTGGGGGTTTGAGCCTGCCGCCAAGCAGCCGAGCGGGTGCGAGCACCCATCCTTCACCCATCCTTCTGCGCTCCTCCCAGCTCCGCCTACCAGGAGCGCGGCCAAGGACCCACATGTCAGCATGGCCACCACGGGCATCAGGTTTCTCTGGCGGATGGAGGTGGCTGTCCCCTCCCTGCGCAGGAGCAGGAGCTCAGCTGCTCCCTCCCTTCAGGAGCTGCCTGTCCGCAGCTGCAGGCACAGCAGAGCTGCCGTGCC